TACTTCGGGGAAAATATCTTTCCATACCTGAGCCTAGGACTGCACATCAGCCGCGCGCTCCACCTTCGTCCGCCGGAGAAGGATGCCTGTACCATGAGCTCGGCAAGGGTTTAAGGTTTTCGTTTTGTTTAGGCTTTAGGGAGTCGGGTTAAGAGTTTCGCATTCAGGCCAACTGGGCACCCCCCAAATAAGAGGACGTTGGTGTCCAAACCCCCCCCAAGAAGGAACCCATTAGAATCATAATATGACAGTGATGATTACATTCTATCATGGAATTCTTCACACCATGTCCATTCATCTAGCCTACGTCATTTTGTCAAGCGTCATCACTAAGGTCAAGCTTGCTGTCGCAGGCCTAGTTTAAGTTGAGCCGGGTTGGGCCCCTCCTTTACTTACTGGAGGTTAGGAAATGAAGGGAATATAACCCCAGCAGGATAGCTACATCATACGGGTGGTTGTCTAAATCATGGTCCCTTTTGGATCCCTATTATAATACGGCACCTTATATGTAGGGTACCCAAAAAGGGACCATAATTTCGACAACCACCCTTATATTTCCTTCTTCCCTACTAATGCCCAGTAAGTAGTCCAAGGACAGCATGGCCCCGCAGTTGGCCAAACAAAACTTGCCAGCAGCACGATCCAAAACCTCCGTTCTCAACTTCTCCATTGCCTTGCGAGCTGAATACATGATTTACTATCCAAACTCCTTAAAGTGGTTATATGGGGATTATGTAGGGGACTAGCCCCAAACCCTAAACCCCAACCCTTGCGAGCCGGATACATGTGCCGAGGCTGGTATCTTCTTATTTGCTGCGCCATTTCTGCGACAACTAATATGCTCATCAGTGCGATGCAAAAAAGCAAACGATTGTTACTATTACTTTTACTGCTCCTACTAAGACTACTACTATTGCTGTTTTTGCTGTTGTTGCCATTATTATTGCCGTTATCTGCCTGCTATTACTATTATTGCTGCACATATTCTGTTTTATTACTATTACTGTTAATGCCGTTGCTAGTATTCTGTAGTTATTCTTTGTATCATCTATCTTTCTTGTAAGTCTCCCGCCAACATGTGGTTTGGTGGACCGACGCTAGGGCTCCGCGCCACCTTCCCCGCACCGAGAAAGCCAAACTTCTTGATGGGGTTGGAGACCTCCGGTGAAATGGGAGTTTCCCAAAACAGGGGTTTAGGGTTTAGGACACGGGCTTAAGATTAATTAGGGTGCACGATGAGCTAGAGTGAAACTCCGAGAATCCCCTTTCACAACCCCAATAATCTACCCTCTACAACCGCCTTTGAGGAGTTTAGGCTGTAGTACACATGGTAGTTTCCCAAAATAGGGGTTAAGGGTTAAGGGTTTGTGTCACCTCTAGAAATTTGCCACAATAGGGGTTTAGGGTTTTTTTTTGAAAGAGGATAGCGGACTTTTCGATCCAGCCCACTGGCTCATTCGAGCCCCTCCACCTTGAGCTTGTGTCAGGAAACTTAACACAGGACCCTCAGCGCCCAATTTCAGGGAAAAACGCCTCAGCCCCCAATTAGTACCTTGAGTCACCTTTCGGAAAGCAGCAGTCTTTGCACCAAATTAGCACCTCTCGAAACATCGTAGACATCTTCGCGAACATGCAGTCAATTAACCCAAGCATTCAGCCCTTCAGTTCATCTTCTGGAGAAATCGGCAGCAGGGGCTACGACCCTTGCACTGACCAGACCTTGTTGCATCCATACCGAAGCCAGAACTCCATGTCTGCAGGGAAGGGGCTATGACCCTTGCACTGATGCAAGGCAACGTCCTTCAAGCTGCTTCAGCAAGTGGTGTGACTCCTGGCGTGTCCGGGCCACAGATCCCTTTGGGATCCCACGAATCTTCGGCATCATTCCTTTCAAGCAGCAGGCGCATGGATGAGTTGGCACTGGAAAACTCGCAGTCAATGGCGCATCCACGTAGATGGCCCCGTGATGTGGTACATGCTACTTGCCATGGCTAGCGAGGAGAGCCCAGGGGAAAAGGGCGCGCACACACACAGTCGTACCTTTTGGGCCGAAAGCTTGAGCGGGGTTTAGGGTGTGGGGTTTCAGGTTTGTGTCACCTCTGGTAATTTCCCAAAACAAGGAGACCCCAATATGAGCCCCAAACTACTGTAATCCTGATTCTGGGGACCACTTCGTCATGGAAACCCAGCGCGACACGTGTCCTCTCTGGTAGTACCCTGGTAGTTTCCGCAATGGGGAGCCAACATCCTTACTCTGGGGACCCCTAAAANNACCCCCCCCCCCCCAAATTTTGTAGGAAACCCCTACATGCGTGCCCTCTCATCTCTCAGTTTCGCCAAAACGGCTGCCTCCGTCGTGAAGTGGCTGCGATGCTGCATCTTTGTATGACCTGGCTTGTCCATGCAGGTCGGTGAGATGATTACATCTCTTGGCTAGCGCTACTGATTTTTGACATGGCTGCCAGTCCTATCACGTCGTTGTATATTGGGCTTTCTAATATTTGTTGATCTTTGTCATATGTACCCCTAAGTGGGGGCCCCTAAGTCATAGAACCCCCTGATATTGGCATTTCCAAACGTAAACAAGACCGGGAGGCCGCATTTCTTGCAGAGGGATGTCTCCGGGTCAAAGCGGTAGTGAAGGGAGGCGCAGTCGCAACCCTTTCGGCTGCAGAAGTAGTGGGCCTCTGGGTAGAGTTTAGGGTTTAGGGTTTTAGGGTTTTAGGGGTTTAGGGTTAGGGGTTAAGGGTTTAGGATTTAAGGGTTTAAAGGTTTAGGGTTAAGGGTTTAGGGCCCCCTTAAGTAGATAGAATAT